CCATTTTACATTCCCACCAACAGTGTGTAAGTGTTCCAGTCTCTCCACAACCTCTCCAACATTTATTATTTTGTGTTTTTGGATTAATGCTAGCCTTGTTAGGGTGAGATGATATCTCATTGTAGTTTTGATCTGCATTTCTCTGATGGCTAATGATCGTGGGCATTTCTTCACGTGTCTGTTAGCCGCCTGAATATCTTCTTTGGCGAAGTGCCGGTTCATATCCTTTGCCCATTTTTTTAATTGCATTGTCTTTTTGTCGTTGAGTTTTTGCAGTATCTCATAGATTTTAGAAATTAGACCCTGATCAGATTTGTCATAGCCAAAATTTTTTTCCCAGTCTGTAGGCTGTCTTTTTAACTCTTCTGGTGAAGTCTTTTGATGAGCATAAGTGTTTGATTTTTAGGAGCTCCCATTTATCTAGTCTCTCTTCTGGTGCTTGTGCATCATTACTTATGGTTCGTATTGTGTTTATGCCATGTATTAGGGCTCCTAGCGTTGCCTCTATTTTTTTGTTCCATGATCTTTATCATTTTTTATTTTATCTTCAAGTCTTTGATCCATTTTGAGTTAGTTTTTCTGCATGGTGTGAGGTATGGGTCTTGTTTCAGTTTTTGTGCAGATGGATATCCAGTTATGCCAGCACCATTTGTTAAAGAGACTGTCTTTTCCCCAATTACAGACTTTGGGGCTTTGTCAAATATCAGCTGCTCATAGGTGGACGAATTTCTGCTGGATTCTCAATTCTGTTCCATTGGTCTATGTATCTGTTGTTGTACCAGTACTAGGCTGTTTTGACTACTGTGGCAGTATAATAGGTTCTAAAATAAGGTAGTGTGAGGCCTTCCACTTTGTTCTTCTTCTTGAGTAAGGCTTTACTTATTCGGGGCCTCTTCCTTTTCCATATGAAGTTGGTGATTTGTTTCTCCATCTCATTACAAAATGCCGTTGGAATTTGGAATGAGATTGCATTATATCTGTAGACCGCTTCGGGTAAAACTGACATTTTTACAATGTTGAGTCTACCTATTCATGAGCAAGGTATGTTTTTCCACTTATGCAGGTCTCTTTTGGTTTCCTGCAGTAGTGTCTTGTAGTTTTCATTGTATAGATCTTTTACATCTCTGGTTAGATTTATTCCTAAGTATTTTATCTTCTTGGGGGCTACTGTAAATGGTATTGATTTGGTGATTACCTCTTTGAGGATCTCTTTGTTGGTGTAAAGGAAACCAACTAATTTTTGTATGTTTATCTAGTATCCTGAAACTTTGCTGAAATCTTCTATTAGTTCCAGTAGTATTCTTGTGGATTCTTTGAGGTTTTCTGTGTATAAGATCATATCATCTGCAAATAGAGATACTTTGACTTCTTCCCTACCAGTTTGGATGCACTTTATTTCTTTTTCTAGCCTGAATGTTCTGGCTAGGACCTCCAGCACAATGTTGAATAAGAGTCGTGATCAAGGGCATCCGTGTCTGGTTCCTGTTCTCCAGGGGAATGCTTTCAAAGTGTCTCCATTTAGGATGATGCTGGCTGTTGGCTTTATATAAATGCTCTTAATTATACTGAGGAATTTCCCTTCTGTTCCTATTTTGTTGAGAATTTTCATCATGAATGGGTGCTGGACTTTGTCAAATGCCTCTTCTGCATTGGTTGATAAAATCATGTAGTTTTTGTCCTTTGTTTTTATTTATGTGATGGATTACGTTGATTGTTTTTCTAATGTTGCACCATTCCTGCATACCTGGTATAAATCCCACTTGATCATGATGAATTATGTTTTTGATATGTTGCTGAATTCTGTTGGCTAGAATTTTGTTGAGGATTTTTGCATCAATGTTCATGAGGGATATTGGGCTATGATTTTCTTTTTTTGTGGTGTCTTTACCTGGTTTTGGTATCAGTGTCATGCTGGCTTCATAGACTGAGTTTGGGAGTATTCCATCCTTTTCTATGCTCTGAAATACCTTTAGTAGTAGCGGTGTTAACCCTTCTCTGAAAGTTTGGTAGAATTCTCCAGTGAAGCCATCCGGGCCAGGGCTTTTTTTTGTTGGGAGTTTTTAAACTACCTTTTCAATCT